CTTTATGAATTATGGATCCAAATTGAACAAAAAATCTGGAATTTTGAAACAGTTTCGTCGCTATTAGATAGGAAGCCCAGATTGTTAAATTTTTTCTGTTGTTACTGACACTTGGCTCAAAGAGTGCCCTTACTAGTTCTTGTTCTGATAACGTATCATCGATGTTTTGCAGATCCTGGACGAGATGCCTGTTTTCTATAACCTTAGTTCTATTGAGAAGCGCGAAGTTCTAATTGTCATCTTGCAAATTGTTCGAAATCTGGATGACACATCACTTGTCAAGGCATGGCAGCAAAGCATTGCACGAACTAGACTATTCTTCAAGCTAATGGAGGAAAGCCTTGTACTTTTTGAGGTATGCTATCCAAGTGACATAATGTTTTGTCCAGATTGTGCTTATCAGTTTCGACTACGAAGTAAAGTTGAAGTGATTGAACTTTTGTATTTTTGGGGACTAGCTTTAGATGTAAATATTTAGTAGTTCAGATACAGATAATTCCCGGTGAGCTCACCCACACACATATAAGTGATGGCTTTACCATAGGAAAGCTGGCTATTGATGCTGTTGATGGGTGTTGACTAACACATTTACGGATATTGCAATAGCTAGAATAACTCCTGCGAATTATCCTTAGAATAGGCTTCCAGTTCAAGTCAGATTTGTCTACTGTACCATTGGGTTTGAAGTGGGACTTTTGGACACAGCTTCTATTTCTTGAGGACCGGTCTCTCACTATCCTCAGCTTTCGTCCTGCATGTTTGCATATACTACCATTCGATATGCTTCTTTGTTGAAGATACTTATCTCACTATGGTGCTGGCTTTACAGCACAGGAAACCTTCTGACGGCATGCTGTTGGGTTCCAGCTCCCGGAGCCCTACAGTAGACGCACCTCCTTCCCCAAAATACTCTGAAAGGCTTTCTCCTGCAATCAACAACTATTTATCTGAAGCATCACGACAGGAAGTCAGGGTAACTATTATTTCTCCTATTTGTGGTTCCTGACTTCTCACTTCGTCACACCACTGCTGTTCGTGGTGTTCGTTAATGTTGGATATTGTCTCGAGTGGTACACCCTGCTTCTGCATAGCTCTTTATTTTAACAGAGTAAGCAATTAGTCTAAATGTCTAATGCTATAGATCTTGAGCAGTAAATCCTTTTGCGAACTGTGATTGTAATGCAGCCTCAGGGGACACCTGATAACGGATTCTTGTGGCAGAGAGTGAATTCTCAGTTGAGTTCTCCCAGCCAGCCTTACTCCTTAAGAGAGGCTCTTGCTCAGGCACAGTCATCAAGAATAGGTGCTTCAGCACAAGCTCTCAGAGAATCTCTGCATCCCATATTGAGACAAAAATTGGTAGGTTCTTTTGATCTACAAAATTATCCATTCATTTTTGGTACATGCTGCACATCATGTTTTTCTTGTCCTACAACTAGGCAATCATTACAGGTAGCTGACGGCTTTACATTTGCTTCAGGAATTGTGGGAAGAAAATCTGAGTGCTGCTGTGAGTCTTCAGGTTCTTGAAACAGCTGAGAAGTTCTCCACAATGGCAACAGCCCATACTATAGCTACTGATTACGGGAAACTTGATTGTCTTTCAGCAATATTTATGAGCTTCTTCTCTCGTAATCAGCCACTGGTCTTCTGGAAAGCACTATTTCCTGTCTTTAACACAGTCTTCGATCTTCATGGGGAAACATTAATGGCAAGGGAAAACGACCGCTTCTTAAAGCAAGTTGCTTTTCACCTTCTTCGGCTTGCAGTTTTCAGAAATGAAAGCATCAGAAATAGGGCTGTTGTAGGACTGCAGATACTTGTTAGGGTATATATTTTATAAGCAATTCCACTGGCTTTTGGAAATTTAAGTTCACACTTTCATAAGCAATTTCAATTTCATTACAAGAATGTTTGACTTCTATCTCTTGCAGAGCTCTTTGTACTACTTCATGCAAACAGCAAGGCTGAGAGTCATGCTGACAATCACATTATCGGAGCTCATGTCTGATGTACAAGTCACACAGATGAAGTCTGATGGGACCTTAGAAGAAAGTGGTGAAGCAAGGCGTCTTCGGAAGTCACTAGAGGAAATGGCTGATGAATCTAAGAGCAACGACCGACTAAAAGAATGTGGGCTTTGTGAAAGTGCTCTAATGGTTGTACCAGAGGGGTTATCTGAGAACCGTTGGTCCTGGTCTGAGGTCAAACGCCTATCTGATAGTCTGGTTCTGGCCCTTGATGCTAGCCTGGAGCATGCCCTTTTGGTACGTGTTCCTCAAAATAATTTCAACTGGGATTGGTGTGCTGGGGTTATATGCTTGCTTTAAACTTGTGGTGACAGTTACCACAATGTCATTAGATACTTTCCCCCTGAGCTGATGAAATATTGTTAGCCTGTCTCCTGCAGTGCTTTCCTCAATCGGTTAGGATCAAACAGGTCTATTGTAGAAGTTGCTTAAATCTCTTGCCTGTTTAGGCTGTGACCTTGATTAGTACGAGTTGTTGTGCTGACATAAGCAACATATGCTTTGTAACAGGGCCCTGCGATGACTATGGATAGATATGCAGCTGCTGAGAGCTTCTATAAACTAGCCATGGCGTTTGCGCCAGTTCCTGACCTTCATATAATGTGGTTACTACACTTGTGTGATGCCCATCAGGAAATGCAGTCTTCAGCAGAAGCTGCGCAATGTGCGGTTGCAGTTGCTGGTGTTGTAATGCAGGTAATAGGTTTACCAGTGGATATTGGTCTAACATCATTTAGTTGATGCTTTTACCTTCCTGTCTTTTTTATCTAGAAGTTTAAGGTGAGAAACTTCTGTTCTCTATGAAGGTGTTGTAATGCAGGTAATAGGTTTATCAGTGAATATTGGTCTAACATCATTTAGTTGATGCTTTTACCTTCGTGTCTTTTTTATCTAGAAGTTTAAGGTGAGAACTTGAAACATAGGTATTGCACTTTTGTTCTCTATGAAGTTTAAACAATCCCTTTATTCAAGGTACTAGTATTCTATTTGTCAACCTCATTAGCGAAGTTACAGGTCGGAATCCTACTTTCACTTGAGAAACTAAAAACGATCAGGGAAGGGGACTGATTCTTTTCTGCATGTATAGTCAATATCAGTTTCTTTAATAGTTACCAAAAAATCTAATACTTTATCTGATCAGGAAAAAAGAAAAAATAGGTCGATTCTTTGTCTCCCTGTGGTCTTAAAAAAGATAAACCTCTTGTTACTTCTTTACATCTTAGCTCCAAACTCATGCATTTATGTAAATTTTGTTCTTGCAGGCTCTAGTAGCTAGAAAGGATGGTGTTTGGAGCCAAGACCACATAACTTCACTTCGAAAAATTTGTCCAATGGTGAGTTGCGAGATCAATTCGGAGGCATCTGCAGCTGAGGTAGAGGGGTACGGTGCTTCAAAGCTTACAATTGACTCTGCAGTAAAATACTTACAGAGTGCGAATAAGCTTTTCTCTCAAGCTGAGCTCTTCCATTTCTGTGCAAGCATTCTGGAGCTTGTGATTCCAGTTTACAAAAGCAGAAGGGCCTATGGTCAGCTGGCAAAATGTCATACAATGCTCACAAACATCTATGAGTCGATTCTTGAGCAGGAATCTAGCCCAATTCCATTCACTGATGCCACTTACTACAGGGTGGGATTCTATGGAGAAAGATTTGGGAAGCTGGATAGAAAGGAATTCGTATACAGGGAGCCCCGAGACGTTAGATTAGGTGACATAATGGAGAAGCTCAGTCACATTTATGAGTCTAGGATGGACGGGAATCATACTTTGCACATAATCCCTGATTCTCGACAAGTCAAGTCAGATGAGTTACAGCCTGGAGTCTGTTACCTTCAGATAACAGCCGTGGATCCAGTGATGGAAGATGAAGATTTGGGGAGTCGTAGGGAGAGAATATTCTCTCTGTCCACTGGTGGGGTTAGGGCAAGAGTATTTGACCGGTTTTTGTTCGACACCCCGTTCACAAAAAATGGGAAAACACAGGGTGGATTGGAAGACCAGTGGAAGAGGCGAAGTGTTCTTCAAACGGAGGGCTCGTTCCCAGCTCTAGTGAACAGGCTTTTGGTGATAAAATCGGAGTCCCTTGAGTTCTCTCCTGTTGAGAATGCGATTGGAATGATTGAAACACGGACGGCTGCTCTAAGAAACGAGCTCGAGGAACCTCGGAGTTCCGAGGGCGATCAGCTCCCACGATTGCAGAGTTTGCAGAGGATTCTTCAAGGCAGTGTCGCAGTTCAAGTAAGCTTGATTATATCTTACAATACTCTTAGGATGTGTCTGGTTTTGGCTCACACTTGAAAATTTGACTTAAAAGCTAAATTCAACTGCAAGCAACTATTGACTCGTAAATCCCACAAAATATTCAAAATTAAAAGTTATCTCATTAATAAACATTTCATCAATGATTTTCATAAACCGTAATCAAATACATCTATTTCTCGCAACTTGAGAATACATAATTTTGTTCCAAGAAAAGCTAAAACAAGCACAGCCCTTCATCTGTGTTGTGTAGCTTGGTGCGGTGCTGAAAACTTACGTTCTCAAAATGCCAATTCTGGGTTGAACAGGTTAACAGTGGCGTACTGAGTGTGTGCACGGCCTTTCTCTCCGGTGAACCAGCTACCAGGCTTCGGTCACAAGAACTGCAGCAACTCATCGCTGCATTGCTCGAGTTTATGGCGGTTTGCAAACGTGCAATTCGAGTGCACTTCAGATTGATAGGAGAGGAAGACCAGGAGTTCCACACGCAGCTTGTGAATGGGTTCCAGTCTCTCACGGCCGAGTTGTCTCATTACATCCCGGCCATTCTCTCTGAACTCTAGCTTGTTTGTTGTTGTGATGTGTGTGTGCATTAGTTACTTACTACTTGTAGTATTGACTGCTGCTGCTTGTGTTAGCCGTTTGCAGTTTGATTATCTTGGATTTAGTTGTAGGGAACAGTTACCTGTAATGAAGCGCCTAATTGTGCAATGCCTAACTTTGTGTATTATTGCACACTGTTAAGTTTGATTTATGCTGTTTCTGAAAATTCTGCTAACGAAAGATTTTGTATCATAAACTTGACACCTTTATTTCGAGATTCAAAAGTTTACATTCTTCCTTGAAGTCTCTATTACTTGCATAGTTAATCTCCAGCAAAAGTCTCTCCTATTCGCTTCAGTTCCCAAGTGTCCTATACCCGAAAGGCAATCGTTCAAGACTCTCAGCCACTGCTACTCTTCCAGGCATAAAGCGGCGAATCGTCCTCTACTAGGATGAAGTAAAGGAACTAAAAGGGATAGAACTAATCCTGCTCCAAATCATCTAGCCATATGCACAAATGGTCGGCAGATGAAGAATGGCTGCTGAGTTCTGAGTTGAGTTCAAGTGCTGGGGAAGCTGCTAAAATTGCTGCTTCTGCACCTATTCCTCTGCTCTCCAATTCTTCGATGAGGAACAAGGTTCTCCGAGGACCATAGCATTTTCATAATACAACCAATAGTCTAGCATAGTGCTCGGTGTTCGGAAAAAGTGAAAGCCTATAGGTAAAGAGTGGCCCGACGAGGCTAAATGATCGGAATAGTATGGATAGAATGAGAGATCACATTTGTACACTTATGACAATTGGCTAAAAAGAAAATGAAGGAAAAAAAAGTTTAGGGAGAAGCAGAATACGACGGTTGTCTCCAAATTGCACGAGAACAGGGACATTTTTTTCATTCCATGAAACAGAAGAGCAATATAAACCCCTGCACAAGTACACAAAAAGAACTAAAGATAAACTACAAGCTAAAAGGAAAGGAACAAAGCAGCAAGGGAGCACGAAGAAATAAGCAAAGAACAAATGTTGACTCCTGCCCCCATCAGTAGAACAAAACCAGTGCCGGCTGCCAACTGAAAAATACACAGGGCGAAGCACACCCATTTTCCACATTCTACCACCCAATATTAAGATTACAACAACGGCTTGGCCTTCCTCTGCAGTCAGGTTAACCACCACATAAATGAGATTGGATATAAGATAGGAAATGAGACCACACCAATATAGCGTCTTAGCATATGAAGGGACAAAATTCTCAAACAATTGCGAACAGAACTAGACATGCAAAGACAAAAGGATTCTCCGTAATCTCGCACAAAATTAGACATGTTATGTGTGTACTACTTAGCATGTTAAATGAGAGAGTAGTAAGGATGTTCAAGATGTCTTCCCTTATCCTGTTAGGGGAATATATGGAAATGCTTCTTTCGGCTTCCACCAACGCATTCTCAAACCTTAGCAAAGACTCGGAACACAGAAGAACAAGGGGAGAAAAGATAAAGAAGTAAATTCTCAGAAGCATAAGTAATACCAATTGCAGCACCCCCCCATTCATAATCCGTGAATAGCTTAACTCAACTCCAATCCGTCAGCGGGTTGGCGCGCACATTCTTCTTCTATTGCTTCAGTATCCATCAGACCAACCACAAGACAAATGAGATGGGAGATCAGATTAGAAGCCAAACCACGAAAAAGACAGAGTACAAATGCAACACATCTGTGCTTCTTAGATTCGAGAAAGCAATGGTAAATTCTCAGAAGCAGAAGTTATACCAATTATCGAAGGAGTTGCTTCCACAGTCTGAACCAAACAATTGTAGCTTCCATCATATACAGCTCGCAATTCCTTGAACCTAGGAATCGAAATAGGGGGCAGCTAGAGAGGCCAGGCTGAAAACTCACCAAAGGAACCAGACATTGTCCCACAGGACCAAAGAACTCTAGCTCACCCGTCCGCAAGTTGCAACACAAGATTGCAAAACCATGACGATGACCAAAAGATTGCAAGAAGATGCTTTCCGGCTTTTCTGGATGCAGATTAAGTACTTGAATAAACTCGAGGTCATAATCAGACCATGATGTCTCACTCAGCCACATTTCATATAGTTTCCTCCAAGACTTACCATCTTCTTCCAGCCTCCAAACAGTGAAAGCATTCCTTGAATAAATAATAGGTGCCGTGTTAGCTTCAGCTACAATCATGTGCAAAGCATCTTGTGAGACAGAAGCAATCCACTCTCGGAGTTCGACTCGGGCTGGGGGATTGAAGAAGTATCCATAACAGTGGGAGGTATTTCAAGGCAGAAAGGATTGAAGGCCACCATTGGATAGCCAGGCACACGGTACAATTAAACCACCAAAACAACTCCCCATTGCACGAAAGTGAAATGGGCCGAATCTTTCTTGATCGACCAGCAAGAACAAGAGCATCCTTGGTCCATTTCTCCGTACTCTGAACAAAACACGCCCAATTTTAGAGTTGCAACCGGCTCGAAAGTTGCGTATACACACACCACCCGAAACCGATACTCAGAATGAACAAATACTTGGCCATCTCCTAGCTGAAGATTACAGTTATGACAGCGTTGACAAACTAACCTCGCGTGCACATATTTTTATATAAGCACGGCCATGAGAAGGAAGGGCAATTCATTGCTCGGTAATCGGATTGCAGACCAAATACGATCTACCAAGTTCGGTGTCGACATACATTCGATCCACAAACCCGCACAAAAGCAAGTCCTTCAAGGAATCAAGGACTGCAAAACGGCCTCCACCTTGATACGGCCTGGGGAGAAAGCTGAGGACTGTCCATGTTTCCGGGTGGTCGTCGGAGCGAACAAGCAGAGGCGGGCCGTCTTTGATGGTCTGGTAGTGAGAGATGAAGGGGCGATTGAAGTATGTAGAGAAGATTAGGGAGTTCCACCGCTTGCAGTCGGCTTTGCAGCGGCAGGCGGTTCTAGGGGTCGGGAGTCGAATCAGAATTTCTACGAGCAGATCGTCGGCCCTGAGTTTGGTGATGGGAGACGGAGGAGGGTTTACCAGCTCTGAAAGAGTTGAGCTTTTTCGACGGGCCGCCATGGCGGTGGATGGAAAACACAGAGTTTCGTTTTATTGATCTAATTCCAACTTCAGAAATAGCCACTTGAGTTTGGCTCGCTAGTAAAACAGTCGACTTGTTTTGGTTGTTAACCGAATGCTACCCCAAGTTTGACAAATAATCAGAGGGATGGTAAAACCCTAGTGTAGTTTGTATCGGATAAATTAGCGGTGAGTTATTTTATGTTGAAGTCCTGATTTAATCATTTTATAGCAGTGAAAACTTATATCGGTTTGGATTTCAATGGCTGATTTTTTTGGTTTCGGGACATTCACTTTGATAACGATCATATCTTTGACGGTTAAAGAATGGTAAAAAAAAGAAGAAGAAGATAATTTCACAAGTAACATAGATGTGGCATTGATGTGGATGACACTTAAGCACCACATAAGAAACAACTATACAACGATTAACTCTAATAATCAACTTTGTGTAATACCAATAATGTTTTACATCGATAGAAAGAGAGAAAAATACTAAGTTTAGTCGCATACAAAAAGAAAGAAAAATTGTACAAATCTGGATACCCGAAATGAAACGGGAAGAAAACTATAATTCATCAAACTTGAGCATGTAAATGGTATCTATGAACTATAAACCCTAATTTGAGCATGTAAGATTGAAATGCAAGGGGATTTCTAACTTTCTACCACCAACTCATCCGGAAAATACCAAGCGGGGGAGGGGAAGGAATCCGAAAAAGCAATTTAGCTACACCAAATCCGTCGGAAAATTAAGGATCGCTGGAAGAAACCGAATAATCCAAACCCTTACCTGAGAGAGAGAGAGAGAGAGAGAGAGAGAGAGAGAGAGAGAGAGCAAGAAGACAGAAGGAGACCTACTTGGAACTCACTATGCGACAAACAATCATGAAGACAAGAATCCATAAAGACAATGCCAGAGTAGATACAAATTAGCATGCTTCGCTTAATTTGCATTCTCGGAACGGAAGACTTACCAGAACGGAGTACGCAGTGCGATTGGGACGGAGTGCGTTCTTCGTCGCCTGAAAATTTGAATGCCAAGAACTGCCTCTGCTTGCTTGAGCACTACTAATGTGCCAAGTGGATTTAGTGAATGAACTTCTCTTACATTACTTTCCCTTTTTGTTCCCGTCAAAATGAATTTGGGCAAGGGTGTTGCTCGAAAAGAATTACTTCTAGTGGACCATGTTTCGGAGTTTATTATCCAGTATTTATATAACCGTACCAAATGTGTTACCCTCCCTGGTTTCTATTTTTTAAGTAACCTCTTTTTTGGCCATACAGATCAAGAGAATTCAATCTAAGGCCCAATATGCTGAAGGGTGTTTTCGAAAGGGACCCACATGATCACTATGTCAAGAACCAATTGATCCCAATAACTCGAGTTGTTGAGAGAGGTTCAATCGTTGATCATATACCACAACACTAACACACTATCAGTCATTATTGGGCCGGGGAAAATTCTTTGCCCCACGTTTCCCCTTCTTTATTATTTTTCTTTCCTTATCAACGCCTCTTCCAAAATCTAAAACCATTTCCCCTTTTAACGAAGATTCTTCAACGGGGCCTCTTGCTATTCCCAAGGTCTCTCTCCGCCGCCGTCCTCTCTCTCCGCCGTTACCCTCTCTCCGGCGCGACACTCTCTCTTCGACGCCGCTGGCTCGCTTCCGTCGTTTCTCGTCTCTCCCTTGTGCAACCACCATAACCCTAATGCACCGGCAACGTTCTTCCGTTACCCTCTCTCCCTCCCCCATAACCCTAATGCACAAGATTCTTCAACGAAGCCCTTTTCTATTATCGTCGTCGCAGGCTCTCTTTCGTCGTTTTTCGTCTCTCTCCGGCACAGCGGGAGACCTTTTCTGTCCGGTCGCCACAGTCACTCCTTTTGGGCCGAAGAGTGGTTGTTTCTCTGTTGGTGGATCGGCGAGGGTCCTCGGCAGCTCCCTTTTATTTCCAGTTCCTCCCACTGAGACGACGCACCGACAACGTTCATTTTACCTCCTTCGGCCCCCTTTTTTGTTTTTGTATCTTTGCGATCGTGTTCATTTGTTTGGCGTGGATTGGTATATTATTGGTCATTTGGTACTGAATGGTAGTGGTCAATTTTGGTAGTGATCTAGCTTTAAGGTTGTTTGGTATCCTTTGATGTTTGGTGTGGAATGATAGTGATCAGTGTGGTATCTTTGCAATGGTAATGTGGTGTTCTATGTAACGGTAGTGGTTAGCTTTTAATGCATTGGTAGTGATCTGCATCCATGTGATGTTTGGTGTGGAATGGTAGTGATTAGTGTGGTATATTTGCAATGGTAGTGTGTTCTATGTAATGGTAGTGGTTAGCTTTTCATGCGATGGTTAGCTCATACTACCACTAACAAATCATTACCATTTGATGCAAATATGACAAGATGCAACCAATATGAAACCAATAACATCCATTAATGGGCGTACATGAATACCAATCCAACGCGACACCACACAATCGTCAATATTTGAATACCATTTTAAAATCCTACTCGTAATAAAAATACATATCCAATCATAAACATATGGGTTTTGGTTTCCTGTGGAATGGTATTCTTTTTGTTTTTGTATATCGCCATCGTTTGTTTGGCGTGGATAGGTATATGATTGCTGATTTGGTAGTGATTTAGCTTTTAGGTTGTTTGGAATGGTAGTTCCAATAATGCATTGGTAGTGTGTAGGTTGTTTGAATGGTAGGTTCCTTTCATGCATTGGTAGTTTTTTTGCATACCAGTGATTCTATGCTATTTGGTGTGGAATGGTAGTGTTCATTTGTCAAGGTAGCGTGTATGTTATTTGGAATGGTAGATATTTTCATGCATTAGTAGTGATCTGCATACCTGTGATATTTGGTGTGGAATGATAGTCTTCATTTTGAATGGTAGTTTGTGTTCCATGCAACGGTAGTCATGTTTGGTGTGGAATGGTAGTGTTCATCTGTAATGGTAGCGTGTCGACGATTGTCATTGCTAATCTTCCCCCCTAAGCCTGCGTTCCCACTGCTGAATTCTTTTCCTCCCGTAAATCTTGGAACAAACCCCTACCGTGATTAAAACTCCGTATAATTAGTTTCCGCAATGATATCTCCTCTTTCCCTAATTAATTGCAGTATTAAAATGGTAGTAAATATTAGGAAGGATGCAAAATACCCATGTTATCCCTAGTTACCACCGTGGCTACTAAGACTAAGTATCCATCGTAACCCCTCCCATAACCGCACTGTACTGATGATTCGATTCAAAAAATCGCTAGTCAAAGTATGATATGATACAGTTAAATCACGGTCTCAACATAACTATCATAACTTTCACGGTCCTTACTAATATATCCTATGTAAAAACTATTGCTAACTATAGCTAACATATCGTAATGTCATAATCAGGCCGCTCAATTAGTACGATATTGTCCGCTTTGGGCCAAGCCCGCACGGTTTTACTCTGGGGGTGTCCTCCTCAAAAGGCCTCGTACTAATTGGGCTAGGTGGACACTAATATACAAGGGTTCCTTCCCTTGTATTTCCGATGTGGTACTTGGATTGTCCCATAACAATCCTCCCCTCAAGACAAGGACCACGAACTTTGTGTCCTCACCTCAGCGATTATCTTGATCCGCCAGACACCTTGTATCGATGGGCTTCTCGGTACAAGGATTTTCTCATACGCGGAGCTCTCTTTGATCCGCCAAACCAGATGTAGGCCAAACGTGGATCTCTCATGGAACCACCAAACCAGACGCAGATCTCAAATCCCGAGGTCACCGAATGAGGGCCCAACAAACTGATGTCCACTGCCCCGGATCCGCCGAACCAGGCTCTGATACCACTTGTCAAACCGGGGTGCTCAATTAGTACGATATTGTCCGCTTTGGGCCAAGCCCGCACGGATTTACTCTTTGGTGTCCTCCCCAAAAGACCTCTTACTAATTGAGCTAGGTGGACTCTAATATACAAGGGTTCCTTCCCTTGTATTTCCGATGTGGTACTTGGATTGTCCCATAACACGTACGATTTTACAATGCTTACTATTATCATTCTTGCAAGAAAGCCTAATATCTTCGAGCCGGAAGCAAATTGAACTTTTTGGGTTTTTTGTGTCGTCGGAGAGAGGTTTTAGGTCCAATATTAAAGAAAAATAGTAATATATTACTATTGTATAAAAAAAGTGATCATGATCTTTAATTATCACCATGGTATGAACTGATAAGAAATGTCTCATTTTTTTTGTTTAATTATATAAAAGCGGGTGTAATTTTGAAAAGTATAGTTAAGTTTGTATTTTTGTGCAAAAATAATTAAATTACAACTTAAAAAGGAAAGATATATAATCCTTCTAAGTTAATTGGGGGAAAGATAGTTGTCTTCCATAAATAATAAGTAAAGGGTAAACGATATGTATGTTATGCTTAGATTTGAGCATACACATTGAAATTACATCATGACATGTCATTTAGTTGATGTAAATGACAATTGCATTTTTGCAAGTTTGCAGCCACAACATCTTTTTCCTTACTAAATTATTTATTATTTATATTATTAAAGTATTTATGCTTTTATAATTCTATTAAGAACAATTACAATTACAAGTAAATTGCATTGATGTTGTGCAATAAAATTAGAATGGTGAGTTGGATAACATAAATGGTGAGGTGGTAATAGAAACAAGTTCAATTGATCTTGCTATAGCATTGAAGTGTAGCAAATAGTGTTGACAGGGTTATACTCTTTTGAGACATTGAGTATGTTTGCCCCATCTTTTAGAAGTGGTTTTATGCTTCAAAAATAGAAACTGGACAAATTCTAATATAAAAAGCATAGTTCTAAGTTTACTATTCATTAAGCAGTAAAACCATAAATAACACCATAAATAACTTCAACTCTAAGGGCAATGGTTCATTAAGGTGCGTCTCATCCACTAATTCTTATATTTTCCCTCTTTCCCAATAATTTCTTTTTCATTTCTACTTCTTTTCATTTTCTTTTATTCATATTTTTTATTCCTAATTTTCTATCTCATATTATGTGTATTTTTATACTAAATCGACTGTTTGTCATATTTGATTTTACATCTTTAGTCATCTCTTTCTCACTCAAGCTAAAATAGAAAAATCATCGAGTAATCTTCTAATATGGGTTACTATTCATTAAACGTAATTTTTGTTGTTGTGAATCGACCTCTTTGTTCGTATTTGGTTTTGCATAATTGCTCATGTCTTTCTCACTCTATATTAAAATGGTAAAAGTGGCATCGAAACCAATAGAACCAAATGATATTCTTCCGTCGTTTTGCTCTTAGTTATTTTCTATTTCAAACGTAGAAAATTCATAAATTCTCTAATGAACAGTTGTCAATTTCCAATTATGTAGATCGTCATCTTCTAATTCATAACTTCATTGGCCAGCGAGTGCAAATTACTACGAACCTCTCCCACAATATCTTAATGATTTTTCATGCCCTTTATGGAATTATGTCGTATGATTTACTATTGACTAATTCTTTCATAACGACTTTACAATGCTATTTTCCAATCGCCGCAAAGCGCAAGCGAGGGGGCAATATCTAGTACATCTATAAACTCAACTTTTGCAAAGCACAAAAGTGTTATTTTAAAACATAAAAACATACTTTTGAATCATGACAACGATTTGATATAACATACTATTGCAGCACCGGACAACAATTTTTCCTACTGGTGGTATCATGACGTTGTTGGGGTCCATACTATTCGTCATGTTATTGAATAACGGTTAAGACTCGTTTAAGCGCTCTGCTTTTCAACCAAAAAATTTCATCTCACAATGTTTAAGTTGTATGATTTTGCGGGAATATACATATGATTTTCTGACATCAACTCTAATTTCAGAACATAAATTTGACATTTGTAGTCAAGTTGCGCTCCAAAACGAATTCCATCACAAAGAAAATGCAATGTTTCTGTAAGAAACCAAAAACAAAAGTTGTCAACTCGAGGGTCATACGACATTATTTTTACATAACCATATCTTTGGAATTCTAAGTTTAACATTTGAACATAGATGTTATATGAGTGTAATTTCCACTATATGTTGAACCCATGTACGAATTATTATTTAGGTATAATGTTAGATGTGATTTGATATATTGACTTTTTTCATACATCCCGGCTAAATCAAAGTAAAGCGATTGAACCGTTAACCAACTAGTTTGACAACTTTGATGAGAAATCATTTTCTATGTTAGAAATGGATCAGTTTGACTAAATAATAGCTCTAAGAACTGGGAATCATTAAGGTACCATTGTATACACCACGAGACTAAGAATCGTTAATTGCTGACATTTGCTGTCACCAAACACAAGAACATAGAGCAGCAGTAAACTAGATAATACCCTAGAATTAAAACCGTGAATACCTAATCATCTCCCAACGAATTGTTATGTCTATCTGTATTTATACATCCAATACGTGTCTATAGCTTGGCTGCCGCCTTTCCTTTCCACTTTTCCCTCAAAATTCTGCCTTAGTTTCTGACATGCCTGAATCACTCACCTACCATCATTCGCCAACCGAAAGATTCATCTTTATGGCGGCCTCTTTAACATCCATCTTCTCCTTCTCGGGCAGCCTCGAGGACAGACGGAAACCACAACTCTTCTCGCCCTCCACCATAAACTCGGTCAACTTTTTGGCCGTCTGTGCATCCTCCACGGAAGCAAGCAAAATCGTGCTATTGGCAAAACATGCCTCGGCTGCTTGCTGTGTCTTCTCCCTCCAGATGTTATCAGCCACATTCAGTTTGTACTCTTTATAGACATCGGCAAAAGCCCTCAAGGAAACGGTAGAATTACCCTGATAACCAACCATCTGCCAATTCAGCAAAATTTCACCATCCGTTGGTTAGGGCAAGGCTCTCCCAATCCTAATTCTAAACACACATTGAGATCATGCTAATACTGATTTCTACTGTCAATCCAAACCTAATCAATAAACAACCTAATCACAAACTCAACTCCCCTGTTTCTCATTCATATAACGATTTCCTAGTTCTTTTGCATCAAGATTCAGGGAAACTAACTCTACTAGAAGACATAAGCAAATGCGATCGGAACAACAAACACTAAGCGGAAGAAGGAATCTACTCTCCATCTCCCCTATTTCTCATTCATCTAACGATTTCCTAGTTCTTTTGCATCAAGATTCAGGGAAAGTAACTCTACTAGAAGACACAAGCAAATGCGATCGGAACAACACTAAGCGGAAGATGGCGACGAACGACGTACCGTATCGCTCGCAGAGATTAAGGCCGAAACTAACCGAGCAGGAAGGAATCAGCTCACTATAGCAAAGAATCTGCTAGCAAGATCAGGAAATCGTGAGAACAATAGGGAAATGCCTGAGATGCGAAGATACTAGAGGTTTGGGAGCATGCTTACCGACCTCGATCAGCGGCGACGTCGCTCTTTTCTTCGTTGCCTCGCCTCGCCTCGAATGCCCCTTGTCAGTCCCTGGATGCAGAGAGAAAAGCAAGATCAGGACAAGAAGATGAGAAAAATGCCGGAGAGGAGAAGGATGTAGAAGTTGGGAGAATGCTAACCGAACCACGATCAGCGGCGACGTTGCTCTCTTCGTCGTCGCCTCGCCTCACCTCGAATTCCCCTTTTCAGTCTCAGTCTCTGGATGCAGAGAGAAAGGGAACCGCCCTGAAGCTGCTCCTTTTCACATAATATTTACATTCTGCCGCTCTTTTTATAGGGACCGTCATATGTTAGTAAGACTTATGAGTTATGGGTGCGGGTTGAGTCACTCGTTGACCTATTTTGACTCTAACCGATAAAAGAAGGGGGAGGGGCCTTATACATTCTTCGGACCGACCCGCTGCAAGAAGATTATCATGTTATATGTCACACAATGTCCTTCTTTTCTTTTGTTTGCGAAATTCATACTTTTTCTGGTTTTCCTCTTCGTCTAACCCTATTTTTGAAATTCTAAATTGGACATTTGAATATTGAAGTTACATTAATGTATGTATTTTCACTATATGTTTGATCCAAGTGTGACTTGTTATTTTGGTGTAATGTTATATGTTATTACTCATATATTTCATGCAATTTGATATAATTTATACATACACGAATGAATTTTCATATATTCGGGCTAAAGCGGTCAGACCATTAACCCTCAACCCACTTGCTTGATCGGGTCAACGGGCTAAACCAAGTTGAAAACCTTGGGTGCGATGGTAATTACTAATTAGGGATAGCAACATGTTGAGTTGGATAGTGGATCTCCATTACCCTACCTGAAAATAGTTCAGGTTTTATTCATAATCACATTTAGGGGTGTGCAACCGTTTTGGTTCAGTCCGGATCAGATCAAATTCATGAGAATTGTGGTCCTATAGTGAAAGACATCTTAGCACCAAGGACCAGACCATCATTGCATTCGGCCCATTTTGTTTGTTTTCGGTTCGAATATCAATTTAATCCATTTTTTCTTCAGTAATCATAAAATTCATAGGACCAAGTACCGGAGCGCATTATACTCAGTTCGCTACGGTTCAGTCCGGCCAAACATCGGTTTGGTCCGGCGCGATCCTGTATTGACCAGACCATTGCACACCCCTACGCACACCTATTTAAGAATCTAGTAGAATATCAAACCATATCCATACTTAGTCGGGTTTCGAAAATCCACGGTTATCCATGGGACCATGGATAATAATTTATTTTTCTCAATTTCAACTAATATGTTAACATATGTGTCACACATATAGTGACATTACATAAGTGACAAATTACAACACTAGATTATTAAAATGAATAAATTAATTAAAAACAACACGATTCATGAAATATTATATATGTATGATAAATATAGAATATGTTGAGAAAAATAATAATATTTTTAAATAAAATACATACACATGTGTATATTTGGGCAGGATCGAGTTGGATAGTTAGAAAACTATGTCCATCCACCATCCGCAATATTTTGATTCAAGCCATAAAAAATATATTTGGGTTCAAATTTTACTCATACCCATGGTGCAACCAAAACCCATTTGTGGTTGGTTTATGGTTACTCATACCTATGACAATTTGTGGCGGTCCATGCTGCATCCGAATATCACTTTTGGTTAACGTTTTTTAAGGAACTTTATTGGAGTCATTAATTATGATTCGGATGTACTATAGACGATTACGACTCCAAAATGTCGATGAAGAATTATTTCTCTCGTTGAATAGTGATTTTCTTTCTTTAATCAAAGTGTTATTTATTTGCTTAAGGAAAGGTTAAAAGTGTACGATTGACTTTCCACCCCTAGTTCTTTTTGCTCCTAAATTTCAAGTTTCTTTTTTATTATTGTAAGATTGACTTCTATTTTATTTTGAAAGAGTCAATGATACAGATGATGATTATGTTTGAGAGGAAGAAAGATGAGATCATATATGCTTCACTCCTCGCCTTCTCACCGATAACTAGATGACTCCAAGATGAATTGAACAATACTTCTTTGGTTTATGTTTCTATATGCCTAAATGAACGGACAAAATGAGTATAAAATAAGAAACTATAAATTAATTAAATTATATAAAATATAAAATGGAATTATTTAATTGATATAAATTTCTAATTATTATATATTTTAGAACAAATTCGTAATTTTTCATAACATTTAAAATTATTATCAAATAAAATCATCATGAGAACCAATTATTGCAAACCAAAATTATTATTGCAAACTAAAATAAAGGCCACTAAAAGTGAAAAGAGAACAATACAACAATCTTTCTTTTATGAATAACAATACAACAATCTTTCATGAGTGAAATTAGCTACAAAATTATTTGTCGCTTATGGTGCAATTAGCAACAAATATCATTTGTTGCTAACTTTTGTCACTAAATAGAACTAGCAGTAGTAGTATTGGTGACACACGTTTATGTGTTGATATGGGCTATTGAGGCACATAAATAACTTATTGTTACAAATACGTCTAGCTGGTAAAAGCCCATTTTCTTGTAGTGCTCTGCCCCAAAATAAGGAAGGCACAGTCAAGTGCTTTATTGATTCATTGTAGAAGTGGATGCAAATTTCTCTGGTCTGAAGACCATAATAGTATTTTCTAGGTTCTCTCACAACCACTTACTCAGGTGGTGAGGCTGACTTCTACGATTTTATAAAACTATGCCTTTGTAGTTGAATTCCCCTTGGTTTTACAAAACATAAAATAAAACAATGCAGGGGGAAAGAAATCTAAACTACAAGAGAGTGGAAGAAGCAAGAGGAAGAGGCGTTGCATAGGCAAGCTCCCCCGAAGAGTTCCTTAGGACACTAGATATTTCTCCCTTGAGGAAGTCGAAGCAGTTGAATCGATCGTAAGGGACTGTCGTGTCCAGCCTCAACCACCCATGAAGAAGGATTTGATGATATAATCGTTGAAGTTAGTCCTCATACTACCCATGCAAGCGCATCAACAATAAACCAAACGACAAATATAAAGAAATCAAATCATATATATGTCAAAATCGAATATTACATAGTCAAGAATCGCTATGGTTTGCCAACCTATGCAACCAAGGAAACTAGCCGGCCACAAGGATGATTTCCTGGGGTACATAAGTCGAAACAAGGTCTTCAGAAAGCTCTCCAAATCGGCGGCCACAAAAGAGAAAACAGGGACTAGGCTGCCTCTTTTAGTGAGGATTCTCCCTTCTTAATATTTTTCGTTCTAAGTTGGTTGAGTCACTCTATCAACAGAGTAACATCACTTCAATGCGATTTTCGAGTCCCAGCAGGTCTCATCTAGTTTAGCCACCACACAATAATTATTCTGGACGAATCTGGGCATTTTCTGGACGAGGATCAAAACGAAAGCCAAGGCAATGTTTTGGACTTTAGAGTGTTGAATACAACAAGATGTTACTCCTTTCTCGATACTGACTCCTAGCAGTCAAGTCTTGATATCCCCAACACGTACTGACTCGCATGAAACTACACCGCCAATTAATCCCAACTAGAGCCCAAGTTTTTAAACTCTAGTCAGGTGCAGTATAAGGCAAGTATTTAATTGTCAAACCCGGGCCGGTCCATGTACCTCTACTTCAATCGCTTAAGTTGTTATCTAGCAAAACGGGTTTAGGTTTAAAACTAAGAAAACTACAAACTAAACAAGCAAGGAAAGTAAATGGAGGATGATTTTACTCGAGAGAACTTCACCCGGGTATTGCTCCCCCTAGTCTCATGCTAAGAAGCGACAAACAAAGCTCTAGTGTGAAGGACATGTTCATACACCGCGAGGTGGGCACAACTAGCTAGGGACAAACTCCCTTAGTCGATCAATGAAGGAAAATAAAAAAAAATAAGCGAGGGAACTAGCTCTCTCAACTGTTAGGTGAATGATTGTTATTCATAGCTAGAGAGCCTAGCCCACTTTACCAATCAACCAAGGAGAACTCTAACTCTCTTAGTTAGCTAATTGAGAATCGTTGCAACAAGTTAAAGAGCTAACTCTCTAAACCTTTCGGCTAGGGGTGGCAACGATAGGCTAGGAAACCTAACCCTCTCAACTAACCGACTAAGGATTGCAAGCCAAACCCTCAAAACTTAATCCGGTCGGCGGAGAGACCAATCCTAGTGGGATCACGGCCCTACTCCGATACTTGAGGTTTTGGTCTTAAATCGAATTGAGTTTAAGCTAGCACTCTCAATCATTCATGAATAATACCTCAAATATCATATAAAACAATCAATCAACACAATAGGTTCATGTTCTTGCATCCTAACACATAAAGAGACTAGGATTCACAATACCCAAGTGAGTAGGTAAGCTATTTCATAGCTAGACAAAGGAAAACAACAAAAGGGGAAGAAAGAACCATGAAGTGATGCCAATCCTTCCTCTTTGTTGCTTGAGACACCCTTGAGATGAAGAAATCTTCAATCCTCTAGCTAGGAACAAGCCCAAAGCTCCTTTTTCCTCCTTTGATTTGCATTTTATCACTCTAGAAGAAACTCTAACCTCTCACTAGAATCCTCTTTATTCTGAAAATGAAAACCTAACCTAAAAAGCTCTCATTTCTCTTCCTTTCAGCTCCACACTTAAACCCAGATCAAGCTGAGTTCACGGCCTTCCAGTTCACGGCCGTGAACACCCAAATGAGTCCATGAACTCAGTGTTGTCTCCAAAACGCACCGCTTCACTCTCCGGGGTTCACGGTCTTAGAGACCGTGAACTGCCTTGTCGTCGGTAACTTATGGAACCCTCCAGGAGATCATGCTATTCACGGTTTGTGGTTCCAGTTCACGGCCTTAGGAGACCGTGAACTCCAATGGGAGACCGTGAACATGGGCTGAATCCTCCTCATTGCCCGGTCTTTGCTCCTTTCGTTCCAACTTTCGACCCCGGGGGGTGGTTTCACCTGCTAGATCCTAAAACACACTAAAACACAAGTAACCTAGCACAAAATCACCCTTTTAGGAGCACAATGGCCACAAACGTCAGGAAAACGGGAATAAAATGTGTGCATTTAGACCCGAATCACGTACAAAGTGGTCTCTAGGATGCTATACCTTGCAAACACACAAATCACTATCAAAAGTGCATCAAAATATTAAAAGCGATCCTAGAGTTACTAAAGCACACTTTGAGTGATCATGGCACAAGTTCAAAATATTATAATAACAAATGTGTGAAAACTATCAAATTATGGTTATTATATGGGGAACTAAAATAGTTTTTTCTCTGTGTCATTCCTTCACTCCTTCTGCTAACCAAATCAGTTGAGTAAAGCAAAAAGAGCTTTTCAGTGATATTCTTTTTTTTTTTTTTTTGTTCTACCATATTTCAATTTCATTACTCATTGGAAACTTTATTCTATTTGATTGATATGATTGTTTGGGTATGCTACTCTAATTAGCTATGAAATCCTCTTCCTCGTGGCTTATGCTTTTCATGGTTCTGCTTCAGCAAATTTCTTGCTCAGCTCTCATTCACTATATAGTATATGGTTCGCCTTCCTCTTTGTTTATATATTTCTGTATTTGGATAGAAAACAATTCGTAAATAAGGTACTGAACTCTAGGGATAGGGATGACAATGGGGCGGGTTAGGGACGGGTTTGCCTAAACCATCCTTATCCCCGCTTTCAAATATTCAAACCCATACCCGCCCCATACCCATGCGGGGAAGGATTTGCAAACCCATCTTTGGGTACTCATGGGTAATACCCGCCCCGTACATCCTACATTATAATAGCTAAAATTTTACATACAAAAATTTCAATTATAATACTAAACGCACCTACTATTTCATAAAGTCGACAAAGAAACAATCATTCTTAATACTATTCTAAGCATCTTATTCTAAAACATCCAATAATCCATAAGATAGAGTAACAATATATTCCAAATCATTATTCTCTGACTTTGGTACATCTATTAAGTAATAAATAACTTACTAACATAAGGTTGTAAACATGAGGGAAAAAGTCAAAGAATGAAAGAAGATTTGGAGGAAATGAATTATGTTTTGATTTGGGTGGTCACTCAATTGTATTTCTACTATTTATTTTCATGAGTTATCCTTGCTATTAATGATAGATTACAATTTAATTAATGTACATTTTATATGTGAAGAAATGTTTTTGGGGAAAAAATCCCAAAATACTCTAATTATTAAAAAAAATTCCCAAAATACAGTACTTATAAACTTATTTCCCAAAATACAGCAGTTTCAACATCACTGTTGTAGACCAAGACAGTGATGGCAATCACCGTTTTTTACCAAAACGGTGATAGCATCATCGCTTTCAACCAAAACAGTGATGCTATCACCGTTTTGGACAAAAACGGTGATGCTATCATCGCTGTGGACCAAAACAGTGATCAAATCCCCGCTTTGGTGAACAACGGGGATTATACGACCGTTGATAAGAGACGCGGTGAAGAGATCTTCACCGTTGGATTGAAAAGCGGTGAATAGGCGCGGATTGCTGACGTGGACGCGCGCGGGCACTTCATCGTTAATGACTGAAGCGGTGATAGCCCCGCTTTCCATGTCACCGATCCGCCCCACCCGCGCCTTCACCGCTGCCGTTCGATGCAGTGAGGCGCGGATTGTGGTTTTTCTCCACGATCCGACGCCTCACATGGCGCCACGTCACCGATCCAGGCCATCACCGCGTTTGTTGGACGCAGTGAATTCACTGTGTTTCTTCGACGCGGTGATTAATGCACAAGATTTTTCCAGCGCCCAAACACTATAAATATCCCTCCTCCCTTCATTCCAAACCACACCACCATTTTATACTTCTTTCTCCCTCCATTATTTCACTCTAGTTTCCTTCTAAGTATACTCTGTGGTTGCGGCTAAGTCCGATCTTCTGCATCAGAAAGAATTACTAGAGTTTTTGTTTTGTCGATACTCTCGCTAGCTTTTCGGCAAAAAATGGACGAAGAGGCTTTGAGAGTACGTAAATTACTTTTATTCTTTTGT